GCGGCCATAAAAAGAATGAAATCATATCCTTTGCGATATGGATGGAGCCAGAGGCCTAACCAAGTGAAGTAACTCAGAAAAAGACAATCAAATGTCACATGTTCTCATGTATAAGTGGGAGCTAAACAGTAGGTACACATGGACGTTAAGATGAAAATAATAAACACTAGGGACTCCAAAGAGAGAGAGTTGGGGGTGGGGGTAAAGGTTGAAAAATTACCTATTGGGTACCGTGTTCACTATTTGGCTGATGGGTACACTAGAAGCCCAACCCCCACTATCATGCACTATTATGCAATATATCTATGTAATTTTAAAATAAAATTTGAAAATATCAGTAATAAGACAGTATTCTTTGATGTGAAAATGGGCAGGTGACATGAATAGGCAATTTCAAATGAAAAAAATTGAAGTACCAATGAAACCCATATTAAAAATTCAACCTCATTGTTCAGTTCCCACCTATGAGTGAGAACATGCGGTGTTTGGTTTTCTGTTCTTGCGATAGTTTGCTGAGAATGATGGTTTCCAGCTGCATCCATGTCCCTACAAAGGACACAAACTCATCCTTTTTTTATGGCTGCATAGTATTCCATGGTCTATATGTGCCACATTTTCTTAATCCAGTCTGTCACTGATGGACATTTGGGTTGATTCCAAGTCTTTGCTATTGTGAATAGTGCCGCAATAAACATACGTGTGCATGTGTCTTTATAGCAGCATGATTTATAATCCTTTGGGTATCGGGAAGGGGAACATCATACACTGGAGCCTATCATGGGGAGGGGGAAGGGGGGAGGGATTGCATTGGGAGTTATACCTGATGTAAATGATGAGTTGATGGGTGCTGATGAGTTGATGGGTGCAGCATGCCAACATGGCACAAGTATACATATGTAACAAACCTGCACGTTATGCATATGTACCCTAGAACTTAAAGTATAGTAAAAAAAAAAATTCAACCTCTCAGATAGGTAATGAATTGTAAATATAAATGCCTTCACTATACAATTGGTTATTTCTTTCTTCCTTTTTTTTTTTTTTTTTTTTTTTTAGATGGAGTCTTGCTTTGTCGCAAGGCTGGAGTGCAGTGGCGCAATCTTGGCTCAGTGCAACCTCCGCCTCCTGGGTTCAAGCGATTCTCCTGCCTCGGCCTCCTGAGTAGCTGGGACTACAGGCGTGCACCACTACACCCCGCTAATTTATTTTTTATTTTTAGTAGAGACGGGGTTTCACCATGTTGGCCAGGATGGTCTCTATCTCTTGACCTCTATCCTCCCGACTTGGCCTCCCAAAGTACAATTGGTTATTTCTCTAAAGTATACATATGATTCTTCTCCTAAATGAAACATAGGAGTATTGCGCCGTATAAATTTTAAGTAGTTTTTGTATGTGGTAAAGTTTCCAATTCCTTCCCCATATTTCCTTTCTGTCTCTTTCACCCCCAGAGGACCTAGATGTTTTGGATAGCAGAATCTTACATCATTTGTCACCATGACAGTTGAATACAGGCAATAATAGATGCAAGTACAGTTACTTATTAAGCACCTTTTCCTTTTAAAGGTGAAATAGAATATCTGTAATTGTGTGTTAGAGTCTAGAAAAAGTTGGTTCAATTCAGCAGAAACACTTATTGAACGATTACTATTATGTGCCATGTGCATTGATCTGTAGTGGGGATGAAAAGATATGAACTTTGCTTTCAAGTAACTCATTAATCTTATTTGTGTCGTTATGCATTAATTTATTCTTATAGTTTTCTTTTTAAAGAGGCAGGTAATCTGTTTTCTGAAAATTTATTCCAGACCTTCATTTATTCTTTACGTACTGTACAGTTCACCCGTTTAAAATGTACAGTTCAGTGATTCACAGAGCTATGCAGCCACCATTACAACAGGCCATATTAGAATATTTTCATCATCCCCAAAATAAACTCTCTACCCATTAGCAGTCATTGCCCATTCCTCCCTTTCCCCAGTCCTTGGCAACCACTAATCTACACTGTCTCTGTAATGGAATCATATATTTTTAATAAATGGAATAATATATTATTCGGTCTTTTGTGACTAGCTTCTTTCACTTAGCATGCTTTCAAAACTCATTCATGTGGTAGCATGTATTACTACTTTTGCTTTTACGGCAAGTACAATTCTATTGCATGGATACGCTGTATTTTATTCATCTATTCATCAGTTAATAGGCATTTGGGTTTCTACCTCTTGTCTGTTTTGAATAATACTGCCATGAATATTCACATATATGTTTTTGTGTGAATATATGTTTCATCTCTTTTTAGCATATATATATATATATCCCTAAGAGTAGAATTGCTGGGTCATACGGTAACACTATGTTAGCCCTTTGAGGAAATGCCAGACAGTTTTCCAAAAAGGTACAGCATTTTACATTTCCAACAGCAGTGTAAAAAAATTCCAATTTCTCCACGTCCTCATCAACACTTGATCTATCTTTTTGATTATAGCCATCCTAATGGGTATAATGCAGTATCTCATTGTGGCTTTGATTTGCAATTCCCTAATGACTAAGGATAGTGAGCATGTTTTCATGTGCTTTCTTGGCCATTTGTATCAGCAATTTTGTGTCTTTCTGACCATTCTCTTGTAGTCACATCTACCTCTGACCACATCCTGGAAAGGTTCTCTACTTTAAAGGATTGGGGTCATTAAATTTTCTCACTTGGATAATTCAGGATATCTCAAGGTATTTAACCTTAATCTCATCTGTAAAGTCCCTTTTATCAAGTAAGGCAATATGTTCACAGGTTCTGGGTATTAGGCCATCTTTGGGGACCAGGTTTCTGTCTATCACACCATATTAACAATAGTAAGTCTTTTGATCCGTAAACATGATATCTTTTCATTTATTTAGAACATCTGTAATTTCTTCAAATGATGTTTCGTATTTTTGTGTACATTATGTAATTTAAAAATTGTCCTTGAGTATTTCTTTGTGAGCAATCATAAATGGAATTATATTCTTACTTTCTTTCATTTTGTATTGTTCATTGTTATAATATAGAAATGTAATTTATTTTTGTATATTAATCTTGTATCCTGCAACCTTACAGAACTTGTTTATTGTTCTAGTAGATTTTTTATTTCTTAGAATTTTCTGTGTTCATGATCATGTCATCTATGAATAGAGATAGTTTTACTTCTTTCTTTTCAATCCACATGTGTTTTATTTCTTTTTCCTGCCTATTGTCCTGGCTAGAATTTTCAATGTATTGTTGAATCAAAGTGGTTATAGCAGACATCCTTGTTTTGTTTCTGATGGTAGTGGGAAAGTATTTAGTCCTTCTCCATTAAGTGTGATGTTACTATAGCTTATTCATTAGTGCCCTTTATCCTGTTTAGGAAGCTCCCTTCTCTTCCTAATTTGTTGAGTGTTTGTGCCATGAAAGGGTATTGGATTTTATCAAATGCTTTTACTGCTTCTATTGAGGTGATAATGTGTTTTTTTTAATAATAGCATAATTGAGGTATAATTCACATATCTTAAAATTCACCATTTTTAAGTATACAATTCAGTGGTTTTTAATATAGTCACATAGTGTACAACTGTCACCACTATGTAATTTGAGAACATTCTCATCGCCCTCCCACAAAAAACCCTATACCCATTAGCAGTCACTCCCCATTACCTACTCCTCCCAGCCCCTGGGAATCATTAATATACTTTCTGTCTATGAATTTGCCTATTCCGGACATTTCATATAAATAGAATTTCACAATATGAAGCTTTTTGTTTGTTTGTTTGTTTGGTCTGGCTTCTTATATTTAGCATAATGTTTTCAAGATTCATTCATGTTGTAGTGTAAATCAGTACTTAACTCTTCTGATTTCAGGACAGCCCTTTTCAGCTTTCTTTTCCCCTGGTTATCGCTGATAAACTAGCCGACTTACACCCTAAATTATTTTTCTCATAAAGCTCCCTGCCTCCTCTTAATTGTTTACCTCCCAAATCTCCATTTTTTAGAGTAAGGTTTTGGACTTGAATGTCCTCACACTCTGTTTCAATAAAGTCGGTTCTTTTGGGGATGGCTTGGGAGCTCTCTGTTCTTATGAATGGTCTTTATCCCTGGGCAGAATCGTTCAGCCAGTGCTTTGGGTACTGGTCAGTGACAGTAGCCACTGGTCTTCCTGCTTACCTCTTCAGGTGTGGACCTTAACCCTGCAAGTGAACTGGGCTGGGATAATCAGGGTGAGGGTGATTGGGGCCTGAGTATTCTCAGCCTTCTCTGCTTGGGGTTGAGTCTCCACCCTGTGAGTAAAGGAAGGGAGCCCTTGAACTCTTGGCTATACTCAACAGGAATTTCGCCCCTTCAACTCTGTGTTGGAAGTGATAAGAAATGCTGGCTACTTGTCTCTCCCATTGGGATACTCTATTCCTTGATTGGGAGCTGGGGGCAGAGGGAGTCCAGTTTTGGCTACTCCTCCCTGGGGAGTAGCTTCTGTCAAGGTAGACAAGGGGATGGTGAAAGGAAAGGAGTGCTTTGTGGCTCATATGCCATAGACTGTCACTGTTAGATTACTGAGTTTTAGCAGATTTTCTTGAATAAATGTTTCCTCATTTGCTATGGGCTCTTAGAACAATTTCTAGCCATTTCCAATTTAAAGAAAAAAACCCACAACTTTTTGCTGGAACTTTTTGCTGGTTATGGATTTACTTGGAACAGGTTCATGGGACTTTTTATGCTGCAGTTCTGGAAGTGGATCCCCCCTCTTAGGACTTCTTTTTCAGTAAAGTAGAATTTCTTTGTTATGATGGTGCTAGAAGACTGACTATACTAAAGTAGTACCAGTGAACTGTTTTTTTAATCAAGCTTTTACTCTGTCTTATTGATTAGGTTTCAGGATACCTGCTTTTCCTTGCTTTGTTTTTATTTCTCCATATTGATGAACCTTGTTATAATGGTGTTTTACTTTTAAAAATTATTTTTAGTGACATATTTTTCCATTTGTTACTTTGATTTTTAGGTTTGGCTCCAGCAGCTGCTGTTGCCACCACCACTAGTTCAAGCACCATGCAGTTTACCTCAGTATCAAATGCTTTGACCTCCACTGCTGCTATTGGGCTCTCATGTAAGTTACTAATTCCAAAGAAAATACTGTAATTTCTCATGAGGCCACCTTACTCAATTTGCCAGTATATGTTACAGATCTCCTGTGTCTCAGAAATTGTCATTATTCTTGAACCCATTTATAATTGCTGATATCAATAGTAGCTTTGCTTAAGAACCTAATTCTCATGGCTTTAGCTGTGAATTTTTTTTATGTTAACATGGTTATTATAGCTTAAAATGCTAACTTTAAGCATATAATTCATTAATATTGTGATGCTTTGAAACAACTTCTTGAAGCTATTAACAGTAGGGAGAGTGGGAGTTTTGCCAAGTATTTCTGAAGGGAAGAAGTCCTTATCCATGTGACTAAGATAAAATGGAAAATAAATGTTGGAGCCTTCCTATAGTGTGTTTTTCCATACCGACCTGGTTTGTGGTCCTTACATTTTACCTATCAGAAGTGGAACATGACAAAGGGCCAGCTGTAGTTTTGGGGTTCTAATTGACATTGTGTGATGTCTTGTGACCTCTCCTCTTGAAGAGGACCATCTATCTGGATGCTTTGAGCTGAGATGTGAGACATTATCTTGTAACCTCAACTTCTTTGTTACACATTTTCCATTAGTATAGTAATAGCAAATGTTGGAAATATTGAATTCAGGCCAGGCTCAGTGGCTCATGCCTGTAATCCCAGCATTTTGGGAGGCCATGGCAGGTGGATTGCTCGAGCCCAGGCGTTTGAGACCAGCCTGGGCAACATGGCGAAACCCTGTCTCTACAAAAAATACAAAAATTTGCCGGACATAGTGGTGCGTGCCTGTAGTCCCGGCTACTGGGGAGGCTGAGGTGGGAGGACTGCTTGAGCCCAGGAGGTCAAGGCTGCAGTGAGCCAAGATTGCACCACTGCACTCCAGCCTGGGTGACATAGTAAGACCCTGTCAAACAAAAAAAAAGGAAAGAAAGGAAGAAAGAAAGAGAGAGAGGGAGGGAGGGAGAGAGAGAAAGAGAAAGAAGAAAGAAAGAAAGAAAGAAAGAAAGAAAGAAAGAAAGAAAGAAAGAAAGAAAGAAAGAAAGAAAGAAAGAAAGAAAGAAAGAAAGAAAGAAAGAGAAAGAAAGTTGTAGGTCTTAGGCAATTTTTTCTTACAGGTCTCTATAAACTGACTTCTTTCAAAGTTTCTTCTTCACAATATCATAATGTTCATCATTAAATTTTGTTGTAATCCTAGCTGTAATAGCCCCCCTCCCCAGCTCTATGACAGTAAGATTGTCTCCATTCCTGGGAATAAAACTAGCCAGAAAATGTTTGATGCTTAATTGAGCATGAATAATGCTCAATTAACCATCACCATCCTCTTGTGCTATTGGCATAGTTAGGCATTAGTTAAGATTGGTTACCACGTGACTTATATTTTCTACCACTTAGACTTCAATTTTGAGACATGACTATGATTCTGGAACCATGTTGATATATGTAAGCAGTATCCTTCTCAACTATGATAGATTTCATGAATATGACCATGTCCAAGGTTTGGAGTTAAAATTATTGTTCAGTCAAAACTTGCTCTCTGACCTTTGACAGGTTCCCCCACTTATCTCCCTCTGATGTCCTTGTCTACAAAATGAAAATATATTGGGACCACAATATCTTTTAATTAACTTTAATGAATTATAACTTATACATCATAAAATTAACTTACTTTAAGTATGCAATCCAGAAATTTTAGTAAGTTTATCAAATTGTGTAACCATCACTGTATTTAGTTTTAGAGCATTTACATCATTCCAATAAGATCCCTCAGCCACAGACAACCACTAATCTGTTTTCCATCTCCATAGATTTGTCTTTTCTGGACATTTCATATAAATGGATTGACCATGGTATTTTGAAGTTTAACCAAAAGTTTCTAAAGGACTCTTCAGATGAAAAAGACTATATAAATTTCTCACTGTTTTTGATTTAAAGGGTAATAGTTAATATTATGTTGTTCTCTGCTGTTGGTGCTCCAACAACTTCGGCTAGAACATTTAATATTATAACCTTGGGATTTGCATTAAAATTCCCTGGAGCAGGTGGAGCAGCTCCTACTGTAGTTAATAAAATTTTAGAAGTATCAGGATGTCTTGGGGCTCTCACTGGAAATGTGCTTTATAACAAGCAGTAAGTTCATTCTATGGCTTTTAGGGCTAAGTGGTTTTGACCATCTCATCAGAGGATCCAAAAGGTACACTAATATGTTTATGTAGATGATTGCCAAAGAGTAGAATGAGACAGTTGATATCAATGATGTTACTTCTTTGAGATGACTACAGGCAAAACAGCTGCCAAATTCTTGCCAACCATCAAACTTAAGAATTTTTGTTATTGATCACAGTATTTAGCTGGTTGAGATTGATAAAGTTTTCTTTTTTTCTCTAAAAGTTAATTTAAGTTTTGACCTCTATTAAAGTTGACCCTCTTATAAGTTGATTACAGGAGTTTCTCTAGACCTATTCTAAATTTGTTTCTGCCAGTTAGGAGCTAGTTAGGTTGTAGGTGGAAGAAGACTTGGTTATCCATTGCCCCATAGCTATTGTGAGCTGGGTGATAAGGGGTCTTCTACCTAAACCTGTCTTTTAAGTTATACTCCATTTTGGAGCAGTCTTATTTGTTTTTACTTTAAAAAGTTTACTTAGGGATGAAATGACTCTTTTTTAATCTGGCTTAAACTAAAAGTCAATCCCTTTTAAGCTTAAAATAATTATTCCTAAACAGACATGTATATCATCCCTCTCTTTTTTTTTAAGATACAGTCTCATTTTGTCACCCAGGTTAGAGTGCAGTGGCGTGATTATAGCTGACTGCAGCCTAATCTCCTGGATTTATGTGATCCTCCCACCTCAGCCTTCTGAGTACCTGGGACTGCAGGCATGCACCACCATGACCAACTAATTTTTTTTTTTTTTTTTTTTAGTAGAGTTGAGGTCTCACTATATTGTCCAGGCTGGTCTCAAACTCCTGGGTTCAAGTGATCCTCCCACCTCAGCCTCCTGAATATCTGGAACTACAGGTGTGCACCACCATGCCTGGCTGATTTTTTTTTTCTTTTAGTAGAGATGGGGTCTCACTACATTGTCCAGTCTGGTCTCAAACTTCTGGGCTCAAGCTGTCCTCCCACCTTGGCCTCCCAAAGTGCTCAACTTGTAGGCATGAGGCACCACACCTGGCCTCATCTCTTTATTTATTCTTTTACATGACCTTATGAGTTTCTACTGTTTAGCAGGCTAACTGGCCAATGTATGAGACTTGTGAAGGGTGTGTCATAAGAACGTTGCAAGTTACCATATTCGCAAAAAATGTAACACATTATTTCCCCATAAAACAATGACAAAATAAAACCTGGTTCTTTTAGTTATGGGTTGAATCACTGAAATATGAATGGGCAGCCTCTTTGATGATGCTGTCATATCCAGCCCTTGTCTATATAAGTCTCAAATTCCTTCGTACAAATACTACTTTTGCCACTAGCCCATCCCTTAGCACCATGATATGATTTGGCTGTGTCCTCACACAAATCTCATCTTGAATTGTAGCTCCCATAATTCCCACGTGTTGTGGGAGGGACTTGGTGAGAGGTAATTGAATCATGAGGATGGGTCTTTCTCATGCTGTTCTTGTGATAGTGAATAAATCTCACAAGATTTGATGATTTTATAAAAGGGAGTTCCCTTACACAAGCTCTCTTGCCTGCCACCATATAAGAGGTGACTTTGCTCCTCATTCACCTTCTGTCATGATTGTGAGGCCTCCTCAGCCATGTGGAACTGTGAGTCAATTAAACCTCTTTCCTTTATAAACTATCCAGTCTCGGGTATGTCTTTATTAGCAGCGTGAGAACAGACTAATATACATCATTTCACCCACCAGGACCTAACGCACTTACCCTTCTCCCCATTAGGTATGTCTCAACCTGACAGCCCCAATTTGGGGTGTTCTTTTTCCCTACTTACCTTTCTTTCTCTTCAAGTGTATTTACTTATTCAGATTCTTCATCTCACTAACCAGTCTTGCAGAGCAGCTTTCAAGCGTTTGTATCTGCAGATTTACAGCCACTTGGGATTACTCTCTGTCCTAGGTATAATCACCAAATTTTAAGAGAAGTTTGCTTTTTATAGTCTGGGAAGGTGATGATGTCCATTTCCGGCATGGAATAAGATGTATAGTTGTTGATCAGGGACAGGATAGGAAAACTGGATAGTAGAATATTTTAAAGACTATTTTCACTATTTTATGCAATGATTTTTAAGACTATCAGAATGAGATTTATTTAAATGTGAGTTCAAATTTGGTATGTAGTTTTTTGTATTATTTTTAGAACCATACTTCCGCTTTACTACACAGATAATGTAGTATTGACTGTATTAACTGGTTAAGACTAAAGTTGTAATTTGCAAAATCAGACTGTGATACAACTTCCAAACCCATTCCTTTACTAGGTATTAATTGAAATATTATTTGACTATGCCAGAGTTAATTTATGCCTTTAAAAATAGCATGAAAGATAACAAAAATAAAACTGTATAAAAAGTTAAAATAGGCCGGGTGTGGTGGCTCACGCCTGTAATCCCAGCACTTTGAGAGGCTGAGGTGGGCGGATCACGAGGTCAGGAGATCAAGACCATCCTGGCTAACACAGTGAAACCCCATCTCTACTAAAAATAAGAAAAAATTAGCCAGGTGTGGTGGCACGTGCCTGTAGTCCCAGCTACTCGGGAGGCTGAGGCAGGAGAATTGCTTGAACCTGGGTGGTGGAGGTTGCAGTGAGCCAAGATCGTGCCACTGCACTCCAGCCTGGGTGACAGAGCAAGACTCCATCTCAAAAACAAACAAAAAAAAGAAGTTAAAATAATCATACCATTTTAAAATGACTCAGGATTCCTTTATGTTTGTGCTGCTTATAGGTAAAAACAATACATACATGCATATATACATATCACTCCCTCTAGAGAGAACAGTTTATCTTTCTAGACTTTTTTCTAAGCATATACAGGCATACATTAAATTTGTTTTATAAAAATGGTACCATACTCTGTGTGTGTGTGTGTGTGTGTGTGTATACACATTCTTAGAATTTGCTGTTTCCTCTTAAGTATACATCTTTTTTTTTTTCTTTTTTTTTTGGAGGCAGAATCTCGCTCTGTTGCTCACTTAGCCTCCTGAGTAGCTGGGATTACAGGTGTGCACCACATCTGGCTGATTTTTGTATTTTTAGTAGAGATGGGATTTCACCATGTTGGCCAGGCTCGTCTCAAACTCCTGACCTCCAGTGATATACCTGCTTCGGCCTCCCAAAATGCTGGGATTACAGGTGTGAGCCACCCTGCCTAGCCAATTATACATCTTTGAATACCTATCCATGTTAGGAAATACAGATTACTTTATTAGAAAACCATCTTTGGGTGAAGATATTCTCCTTTACAAGAAGGGCTCATTTAAAAAAAAAAATTTTTATTTCTGTCTTGAATGCAGTAGTTACTCAGTGTTTGGGTGAATTAATCAATAGAGGGAGTCTATTGGCATTATCATTAATTTTTAGCATTTCTGAGGAAGGTTTTCCTTTCAGATAAGATTTTTGTTCTCAGATGAATAAAATGATGACTTATGGTTGTAAAGAATGTCACGCAAGATCCAATCTGTAATCTCTCCACTGTTCTAACCATAGTGACTCCTGGGCTTCTTTGTGATTGGGCATGGTCTACCTCTGTGGTGCACATTTCACCCTCACAAGGGCTAACATAAAGAATGGGGAATTATCATGGGAGCCTTTGTGGCCAAAAAGGAAATGGAGTCTCGTGGAATTCAAGTAAAGTCATTGCCATGACACTGTTACTTTAATGAAATTGGAACTTAAGATTATTCTTAAGGCACCTTTAGGGACCTGCCAAATCAAATATTGCATAGGCATAATTCAGTTATTCTCCCTTTGTCTACTTTTTTCTTTTTTTAAATTTCTCATTGGTTTCCTTACCTCTTTCTCTGCCTTCCTGCTTTACCTTATCCTTAATTGTGACTTGCTCATGGTCCCTTACTTCTACTTCATCTCTTTCTTCTGTCAGTCCTATCAAGTCTCTCTGCCTATAGTTGGATTCCTTCTATACTTTTGGAAATATTTCCCAGTATCTGCCTAGAGGCAGATTTTTTCCATATTGCTAAATTTTTGGAAATGAAATTCTGACTCATATTAATCCTGTTTTGCTAGAGCTTTTTGTGCCAGACCCTCAGGTAGGCTGCTAGTAGTACATTGGATGGCTTCCCATCCTTCAGTTGGCCATTCTGCCCAGTCAGCTGTGAACCAGGAACAAAAAGGACAGTTATCTGGAACAAAGAATGGGTATTTGAGCTTGTTCCCTCAGCAGGAATGTTCCCTCAGGCCAGCCTCCGTCAGAGTAGTCAGTGCTTGTAGCAGGCACCATGGTTTATGAATTTATCTGGTGTGGCCATTAATCTGAAACTATTGCTAATTTGGAAAGCAAAGCTAACATAAAACAAACAATCATGTACATTATATTTTCATAACAGATTCCTTGTTACAGAAGCAACATTTACTAGTTGTAAGAACATTTGAAAATACTGAGACCAAAAAGAAGAAAATAAAACCTTCCCAGTTCGCTAGCAGCCACAATTTTCTGTGCATTGTTCATTAAGTGCTCAGTGTGTAATAAGATCCAAAAGTGCTGCAGAAATTTAGAAAACCAAAGGAAACTATGAGTAGGAGAGAAGTAGGTGATAAATATGGGGAACAAAGAATTGGAGTCAAGCCATGAAGGATACTTAGGATTTTATCTATAGAGAGCAGGACATTCTAATAGGGGTGTAACAGAAAAAGACACATGAGAGAGAGTCTGGGCTGTAGATAAAGCTTTGAGAGGCTTTTGACTAGGGTTTGCAAAAATGCATGCCTAGTATTGACTGTGGTATAAAGAAATAGGCACTCTTTCCTATTGATAGGGACATAAACTGGCAAAATCAAACGTTTAGATAGGGCAATTTGGCAAGTTATGTTAAAATTTAGAGCATGCTGACACTTTGGTCTAGAAATTTTATTTCTAGGACTTAATTACACAGATACAGTCATGTAAGTATGCAAAGATATAGATGTACAGAGATCTTTTGTAAATTGCAATTATTCTTTTCTTGAAAGTTTCATAAAACTTACCAGCAGTGACATCTGGGACTGGAGTTTTCTTTATGAGAAGAATTTTGAAGACTGATTTGATTTCTTTCATGGTTATTGGGCTGGTTAGAAGTTTTATTTTTCTATGAATTTATCCAGGATTTTTAGTTTTCAGCTGGAAAGTTAATCCAGGTACCTGGCCTGCCATTTATTATTTCATATTATAACAGTGTTGAATTCAAATCTGCATCTTTGAGTTCAAATTTGTATTTTTAAAAATGCCTCCATAATTTTAAATCTGAATGATAAAGGCTTAAATGAAACAATTTCTCATTTCTTACTAACATTATACACTTTATTTTCCAGTTACAACTTCAACGACTACCACCACCACTTTCACCACCAACACTACTACCACAATCACCAGTGGCTTTACTGTGAACCAAAACCAACTGTCATCAAGAGGGTTTGAAAACCTTGTACCTTATACTTCAACTGTTAGGTAAGCCTATTTATTTAAAAACTTGCATGTGTTTCATTTTATTTATCATGTACAAGACATTTGCTTGGATAACTTTAGAATAATATTTGAAAGTTAGCTAAATGATTGAGTTGAGGGAACAGTTAAGAGAAAGATTTCTGTAGCTTAGGAAGTTGAATGACTAACAGCACACCTTTGCCTTCTGAATATCATTATAATAGAATCATTACTATTACTAATAATAGCTACCACTTATTGTGCAATTACTGTATGTTTGGCAAGATGACAATGCATTACAAGTATCATGTCATTTATCCTCACAGTAACCCTATGAGGTAGACAGTATTTTCATTCCCATTTTGTAGGTGAGAAAACGAGAGCATACAGAGATTTTATAATCTGCTCATAGTTGCATACTTGTTAATGGTTGATCCGGGATTAAAATTCAGGCAGTCAAACTCTGGAGCCTGTATATGATGTTTCTCTCTAGTATTTGTTCATTTTTTAAGTTAAGCTTTTTATTTTGAGATAATTGTAGAGTCACATGTATATGTAAGAAATAATACACAACATTCTGTATGGTCTTTATATCATTTCCTCCAGTGATAACATCTTAACAGTAATATAGTGTAATATCACAACCAAGATATTGATATTGCTACAGTCAAAATTCAGAACAGTTTTATCACTACAAGGATTCCTCCTGTTGCCCTTATATAGCCACACCCACTCCCCTCCTTTCCTTGACCCTGAGCAACAATTAATGTTCTCTATTTCTATAATCTTGACATTTCAAGAGTGTTGTGTAGATAGAGTCATATATATGTGACCTTTGGGAATTGGATTTTTTATTCAGCATAATTCCTTGTGATCCACCCAAGTTGTCATGAGCATCAATAGTTTGTTCTTTTTTATTTCTGAGTAGTATTCCATGGTATTTTGGATGCACCATGGTTTGTTTAACCATTCACCTGTTGATGGACATACAGGCTGTTTCCAGTTTTTTTGATATTATGAAAAAAGCTGGTGTGAACATTGGTGTACATGTTTATTATGAATATAAGTATTTCTCTGGGATAAATGCCTAGGAGTGCTGTTGTCAGGTGGTATGGTGGTTACATGTTTTTTGTTTGTTTGTTTTGTTTTTTAAGAAACTGTCAAATTCTTTTCCAGGGTACTGTGCCATTTTACATGCCTACTAGCAATGTATGGGTGATCCAGATTGTCTGCATTCTTGCCAGAATTTGGTGTTGTCACTATTTTTTATTTTAGTCCTTCTGACAGATGTGAAGTGATATCTCATTATGGTTTTAATTTGCATTTCCCTGATGACTAATGATGTTGAAAGTCTTTTCACATGTTTATTGCCATCAGTAGAGCCTCTTTGGTGAAATGTGTGTTCATATCTTTTGTCCATTTTCTATTTGGATTATTTGATTTTTTTACTGTTTGGTTTTGAGAGTTTGTTATGTATTCTACATGCCAGTCTTTTGTCAGATATGTGGCTTATAAATATATTCTTTAACTGTGTAACTTGGCTTTTCATCCTCTTAACAGGGTCCTTTTGTTGTATCAAAACCTTTAATTAATGAGTTACAGTTTATCACATTTTCTTTTAATGAATTGTGCTTTTAGTGTCAATTATAAGAAATCTTTTCTTAGCCCTAGATCCCAAAGATTTTCTTCTGTGTTTTTCTAAAAGTTTTATAGTTTCACATTTTACATTTAAGCTTGTGATCCATTTTGAGTCAATTTTTATATAAGGTGTGAGGTTTAGGTCAAGATTAATTTTTTTTTTTTGTCTGTGGATGTCGAGTTTTTCTAACATCATTTATTGAAAGACTATCTTCCCCCCAAATTGCTTTTGCACCTTTGTCAAAAATCAATTTGTGTCAAATGCTTTTTCAGCCTCAGTTGATAGTCTTTTAAGATTCTGTTTCTTTATCTTGGTGAAGTGGTAGATTACACTGATTGATTTTCAGATGTTCAACCAGCCCTGCATATGTTGAATAAATCCCACTTGATCATGGTGTATAATTTTTTGATACATTTTTAAAAATTTGGTTTCCTGGTATTTTGTTTGAGGACTTTTGTATCTAAGTTCATGAGAGATATTAGTCTGTAGTTTTCTTCTTCTTTTATGTCTCTAGTTTTGATATCAGGGTAATATTGGCTCCATAAAATGATCTTAAAAGTATTCTGTTTTCTGTTTTCTAAAAGAAATAATGTAAATAGGGGTATTTATTTACTTCTTATTATTATTTTCTGAGACAAAGTCTCACTGTGATGCCCAGGCTAGAGTGCAGTGTCAAGATCTTAGCTCACTGCATCCTCCACCTCCCAGGTTCAAGTGATTCTCCTGCCTCAGCCGAGGCCTCCTGAGTAGCTGGGATTACAAGCTCCTGCCACCACATCCAGCTAATCTTTGTATTTTTAGTAGAGACGGGTTTCACCATGTTGGCCAGGCTGGTCTCGAACTCCTGACCTCAAGTGATCTGCCCGCCTCGGCCTCCCAAAGTGCTGGGATTACAGGCGTGAACCACCATGCTTGACTAAAGGGGCTTTTAGGCTAAAGGGGCTTTTAAATTACAAATCAATTTATTTAGTGGTTCTAGAACTATTCAGGTTATCTAGTTAATCTTTGATGAATGTGTGGTTTTTAAAGAGTTGGCCCATTTTTTATGTTGTTAAATTTGTGAGTATAAAGTTGTTCATAGTATTTCATTATTGTCCTTTTAATGGTTGTAGGGATATTCCTGTTTCATTTCTGATATTAGTGGTTTGTGTCTTTCTTTTATCAATTTTATCGATCTCTTCCCAAAGAGCCAGCTTTTGTTTAATTAATTATTCTCTATTCTTTTCATGTTTTCAATTTCACTGATATCTACTCTATTATTTCCTTCCTTCTGATTGTACTACGTTCATTTTGCTCTTTTTCTAGTTTGTTGAGGTGTGAACTCAGACTATTGATTTGAGACTTTTCCTATTTTTTAACATACACATTTAGTGCTATAAAAACCCCACTCAACACTTCCTTAACTGTGACCGACATATTATGTTATACTGTGATTTCATTCAGCTCTATATACTTATTAAATTTCCTTTGTGAATCCCTCTTTTACTAATTTATCATTTAGAAGTGTGTTGTTTAATTTCCAAGTGTTTGGAGATTTTCTTGTTGATTTTTCTGTATTTATCGCTACTTTGATCCCATTGTGGTATTAGAATATGCTTTGTATGATTTTAGTTCTTTTATATTTATTTAGGTTTGTTTTGTGGGTGAGTATACAGTCTGTCTTGATGAATGTTCCATGGACATTTGAAAATTGTGTTTTCTGCTGTAGGGTGGAATGTTCTATATATATAAATTAGATTCTGTTGCTTCACTGTAATTTCAGATTCTGTATTATTGGAGTCTTTCTGTCTAGTAGTTCTTTCAGTTGTGGAGAGTGGCTTTTTGAAATCTCCGCCTTTAATTGTGGACTTCTCTATTTCTCCATTTAGCTCTATCAGTTTTTATTTCATGTATTTTGAGGCTTTCTTGTTTGGTTGCCTACACATGTAGGATTGTTAGCCTTCCTGATGCCTTGATTCCTTTATCGCTATGTAATGTCTTTCTTTGGTTCTAGTAATTTTCTTTGCTCTGTAGTCCACTTTATCTGATATTAATATAGCCATTTCTTTTTAAAAAATGAAGCTTGCATTCTTTCCATTCTTTTACTTTCAAACTGTGTATTAATATATCCTTGTATTTGAAGTGAATTTCTTATAGACAGTATATTGTTGGATCATTTTTTATTCACTCTTCTAGTCTCTGTATTTTATTGGTATGCTTAGCACATTTATATTTAAGGTAACTATTCATATGTTAGAGCTTAAGTCTGCCATTTTATTGTTGCTTCTGATTTTTGTTCTTCTCTTTCTTTTTTTTACTCTGCCGTCGGTTGTTTGAATATTTTTGGGGGGTTTCATCTTGTTCTGTTAATAGTGTTTTTAAGTACATTATTTTGTATAGTTTTATTACTGGTTGCTCTAGGTATTCCAGATACATGCGTTACTTACAACAGTGTAGTCATACCACTACACTGTGTGGGTGAAATACAGAAACCTTAATTCCATTTAATTCCTTTTACCCTTCTTAGCTTTTAAGTATGGTTGTCTCAGCCATTTCTTCTGTGTACACTGAATATCACATCACATGGGGTTATAATTTTTACTTCAGCCATCAAATGATTTAAGAAACGAGAAGTAGAATAGTATATTTACCCTTGTCTATACCCATTTTGATATTCCTTCCTTTATATCAGGGGTCCTCAACCCCTGGGTCAAAGACCAGTACTGATCTGTAGCATGTTAGGAACCGGACCACACAACAAGAGGCGAGCAGCAGGTGACCATGCATTAATTACTGCCTGAGCTCCGCCTCCTGTCAGATCAGACATTAGATTCTCATAGGAGCGTGAACCCTATAGTAAACTACACATGCAAGAGATCTAGGTTGTGCACTCCTGATGAGAATCTAACACCTGATGATCCTCCTGCAGGCCCCTCCCACCGTCTGTGGAAAAAGTGTCTTCCACAAAACCAGTTCCTGGTGCCAAAAAGGTTGGGGATCGCTGCTTCATATGATGTTCCAAGTCTTATGTTTTCATTTCCTTTCTGTTTAATCTTCAAGGGTAGGTTTGCTAGCAACAAATTATCTTGATTTGACTTTGTGTGAGAATATCTTTATCTCCCCCTTCGTTTCTGAAGGACATTTTCACCAGATACAGAAGTCATTGTTGACACTTTTTTTTCATTCAGTGCTTGGTTTTAGATGAGAAATCTACTGTCATCTAAACTGATATTCCTTTTTTAGTAATGCATTTTTTTCTTTCTGGTTGCTTTCAAGATTTTTTTTCTTTAGTTTTCAGAAGTTTAATTATTTTGTGTCTTAGTGTGGATTTGAGTTATTCTGTTTGGAGTTTGTCCAGCTTCTTGAATCTGTGGGTTTATATCTTTTGACAGACTTTGAGAGTTTTCAATCTTTTTTTTTTTTTTTTTTTTTTTTTATAATACGTTTTTCAGTCCCATTCTCTCTTTCCTCTCTGGAACTCTTATCATACAAATGTTACTTCTTTTATTATTGTCCTCCAAGTCCTTTTTCATTTGTTTTTCATTTGTTTCTGCAAAGTTTTTCTTTGTTTTTCTGTAAATTCTATTTGTCTGTCATCAAGTTTTCTTCTTCTATCCTCTGTTGACTGCATTCTCTTATCAAACTCCTTAGGTGAGCTTGTTATTTCAGTTATTTTACATTTCAGTTCTATATCTTTCTCATTTGGTTGTTTTTCATAATTTCTATTTATTTGCTGAGATTTTCTATTTTTTCATTTGTTTTAAGAAAATTTGAAATGGCTTGTTTGAGCCTTTTTTTGATGGTTGCTTTAAAATTCTTTTCAGATAATTCCAATATCTGATACCTCTCAGTGTTGGCATCTGTTGTCTTTTCTCTTTCAAGTAGTGGGTTTTCTTTTGATATGATGGGTAATTTTTAAAATTTTATCTTGGACATTCTGTCTATTATGTTAGGAAAGTCTAGGTCCTATTTTCATCTTTTTTTTTTTTTTCATCAAGCATCTCTTTATTGACATGTAGTACAAGGGATGGGTGTGTTTGTATGTTCAACTTCCCACTGGACCTTACCTACACCACTCCAGCAAAAGTGGAGCACTTATTCACACGCTGTCTCAAGGCAGATGGGTGGTTTGGAAACTCTGCTTCCCGCTTAGCCTCACTGACTCATCGCTCATGAAAGGCGAACATTGCATGCTACCACTTTATTGCCAGTAAGTGGAGATGTAAGCTCAGCTCCCAGCTGGGCCCTGGAGCCCCCAGATCAAGGGGAAGTGGAGGACTGACTCACACTGCTTAGTTGCTGCAGGTGGAGGCAGAATTTCAGCTTCCTGTTGGCCCCACTGACACAAGGGGAGGGAAGAAGCATGATGTCAACTACTCTGTTTCATATCACTTCATTCAGCCTCCTTGGTTGGTATGAAGGCTTAGCTCTCTACTGGGCCTAGCTGACACAGGCTCATGGGAGAAGGGGGACAAAGTACTGACTAGGCATTCTTTGCCCTACCTCATTTAGTCTTGGCTTTGCCAGTGGATGTGGAGGTCAAGCTTCTCATTGGGCATTGCTGACCCCATGGATGGTAGGAAGTGGGATCCCTACAGGTCCTCACTTGAATTACCTTGTTCAGTTGTAATGATGCTGGGTGGGTATAGAGATTCAGCTCCCCACTGGGTCTCTCTGACACCAGAGGCAAGAGGTGAAGCCTAATGGTGACTAAACCCTGCCTCTTCTGCCTCATTGAGCCTTGTTGCTACTGGGTAGGAATTTAGGTTCAACTTGTCATTGGATCCCACAGAAAGAACCCTGGTGGAGGAACTGGAATTGTGCCTGTGTCTTCTACTTAGGGAATTGATGATTACCTTCCCACTGAGCCCTGCTGACACTGCCACAGCAGAGGAATCAGCATTGACTGGCTCTGCTGGCCAAGGGATCAAAGATTAGCTAGTTACTGAGCCTTTTTTGATACCACTTGGCAGGGGAATCAGAGTTCTGCATGGTTCTGCCCAGTGGGGAATGTCTACTCTCTTGTGGATACTACTCAGACAGGGAATGGGTCACTTTGACTAAGAGCTGGGGGAGAGAGAATCCTATCTCCTTAGCTATGCCTACCCAGAAAGGAGCTTCTGTCATGCTGAGCTGGGATGAGGGGAAGAGAAAGAGCAGATTATGGCACAGACTTTAGCTATTCTTGCTGTGATTTAGTAGGTTTCTTAATAAATCTTTATTTACTATATTCCTCTAGGATAATTTCAAGTGACTTTGAGGGGTTGTTTTTTTTAATCATCTTTACCAGTTATGTTTGTTTTCTTGGGGTGCAGGTATGGGAAACTCCTTACATGCTGTTTTCTTCTCAGAGTCCTCCTGAGTTCATTTTTAAAATCTGATCACACTTTTTAAAGTATGATTATTAGATCATCCTGCATCCTTTTATGTTTTAGTGTAGTAGCAACTCCTGTGATGACATATGGTCACCTGGAGGGTCTTATAAATGAGTGGAACCTTGAGCTGGAAGATCAAGAGAAGTACTTTCTTCTCCAGGCCACTCAGGTCAATGCTTGGGACCGTACGTTGATTGAGAATGGTGAGATGGTAAGAAGATGTTTTCATTAATCTACTTATATTGTGCAAGTATTTACAGATGAACACAAGAACATAGACCTGTGTTTTGTGGTTTTCTTTGTTGTTGTTGTTTTGTTTATGTTTTTGTTTTTTGAGACAGGGTCTTGCTGTATCACCTAGGCTGGAGCACAGTGGTGCAATCACAGCTCACTGCAGCCTCAATCTCCCTGGCTCAAGCAATCCTCCTACCTCAGCCTCCTAAGTAGCTGGGACCACAGGGGCACACCAGCACCCCCAGCTAATGATGTGTGTGTTTTTTCAGTAGAGATAGGGTCTCACTGCATTGCCCAGTCTGATCTCAAACTCCTAGGCTCAAGTGATCTTCTTGCCTTAGCCTCGCAAAGTGCTGGGATTATAGGCATGAGCCACCATACCCAGCCCTGTGGTTAATTTTCTATTCCAATATTGGTGAGCAGTTCAAAATATATTCCTTAGGTAATAAGTACCCTGAATAAAAGGAAATCTTTCATATTTGAAGTGTATTTGAGAAAATTAATATTGCTCTAAAATTGTTATATAAATTCAAATACTTATATTGTTGTATTCATATTTCTCTTTATAGATTAGTATTTTACATGGAGAAGTGAACAAAGTGAAACTGGATCAGAAAAGGTAAAACCTTAGATTTCCTTGGTTGAAAGATTAAAGACCTATCTTTTTATTCAGTGCTTTTTTTTCCCTCTGTAGTTTGTTAACTCTTTTCTTTTTGTCACTCCAAATTCCTTTCATCAGCCCTTTTATTAACTTACTTTATTCAGGTTGGAACAAGAATTGGATTTTATCCTGTCAGAGCAGCAGGAACTAGAATTTCTGTTGACTTATTTAGAGGAGGCTACGAGCAACCAGAGTGGACTTCATTATCTGCAGGATGCAGATGAGGAGCGTGTGAAGATGTAAGTAACTGAATAAAGATTGAAGAATGGGGCAGGACTTACGTATTATGAGAGCATTCCAGGAACAGAGGGGAAAAGTCGAATTGGAAGGCAAAGAATACAAATCGGTAGAAAGAGACAAGCTTTTGTAGTTGACATTTATCAATTTGTTTGACTGTTTTCTGCTTATCGTTTCTGGATGCTTGTAAATGAGGAAATCATTCTGGCAATTTTGTTTTATAGCATTTTGTTTATTGTTATTACTGTTAACCTTATGCATGTTCACTGTAAAGGTTTTGTATTTGTCAAATTTGTTCTTAAATTAGAAGTACAAATTTTATGTGTGTGGCGTCATGGTATTGTGGGATATTTGTGGTCTCCTCTTTATGTTGATTCTGCTAAAACTAATGTTCATGCAATTGCTTTAGTGATAAATCATTTGCTATTTTAAAGGCAATTTGTTAATCTGGAGGCAAACTGTATAGCTTTCAAAACTGGAGTGATTTTGTCAGTGTATTTGGAGGGCTATATTTTATTTGTGAACTCTTCAGTCTTTACCTTCTGTCAATACAGTGCCAATGTTCCCAAAGTAACTTTATTTCTCTGGAACTGAGGTTTGGTAGTCTGTCAATTTATTAAGTATTAGAATTTGTATGAATGAACAACATAATCTAGACTGAGACTAAATTGGACACATTTTATCAATGACTTATTATGAGTTAAGACTGGGCCTATTTTTAACATGCTTGCAAGTTAACTTTTTTGTAGGAGCATTAAATGTGGTAAGTACAACTAATCTGTATTAACCTAAACCAGTTTCTGCTTTTGTATTTTAACCTTTGTGAATTTTTCTTTTCTTTGTATTGCTTTCTATGCATTCTATCATTTTTTTGAAACATATAGAGTTACATTTTTGGCCATAAGATCCTAACTGTAGTTTGAAGAAATCTTCATGACATTAGTTCCTTTCCAGTTGCTCTTTTGTAGTCAGATATATATATTCAGATATATATATATATATATATTCAGATATATGTATATATATATATATATATTCAAGATGAAGTCTTGTTCTGTCGCCCAGGCTGGAGTGCAGTGGCACGATCTCGGCTCACTGCAACCTCTGCCTCCTGGGTTCAAGCGATTCTTCTGCCTCAGCCTCCTGAGTAGCTGGGATTACAGGCACGTGCCACCACACCCAGCTAATTTTTTGTATTTTTAGTAGAGATGGGGTTTCACCATGTTGGCCAGGCTGGTCTCGAACTCCTGACTTCATAATCCACTCTCCTCGGCCTCCCAAAGTGCTGGGATTACAGGCATGAGCCACCACACCCGGCCCAGATTTATATTGTGATGAAATATTTACCAGAATCTTCAACAATCTAGGCAACCAATTCTATGGCATAAGTACTATGCCATAGAAAGGCAGTAGATAGTTGTTACCTACAAATCTAATTGACTCTTTAAATCTTTATACATATTAAGGTTGAAAAATCCTCTGGCCACTTTAATTCTTATAAACATATTTATTGACTGGGTCGTGTGTGTGTGTGTGTGTGCGCGCGTGCATGTGTGTAGTTTGTGTGGAAATCTTGAGAATTTAGGCAACTAGTGAACTTAGCAGGTTTGTCTATCTTTGATTATCATGAAGCTCATTTCTCAAAACATCTTTTTTGCCTGATGGAGTATATTTATATGAGGTTTTATTTTGAAAATTTGTGTATTCAAGATCATTGAAGACATCTCAGCATTTATTGAATATTGCCAAACCCTAAATAACTTCTCTTTTGCATGTAAATGTCCTGTAGGTGTATTTTGACGCCTTAAAGGATTCATTTGCTCTACAGATCTCCAGGGTATTCACCTGGAGGATAAATAGGTGATGATAAAAATGGCAAAGTAGATAAAAGCCTTCTCATTTGGAGTCTTTTTAGAATATGGTAATAATAAGTTCACAAATGCTGCATCCATGAAAATATATCAGTGGTCATAATTGAACTCCACTGAATAGATAGGGGAATTAGGGCAAATCCAATTAGCAGTGTCATGTTTATATGTCAACAAGAATAGGTAGTGGAGAAAACACTTTTTGTTAATCCCTTTATTTTACTTGCCTTTTCAGTTACAGATTAGCAGAGCATATAGATGCTCAGCTGAAACAAATGGCCCAAGATCTCAAGGATGGTGTTAATCACCTGAATACATTTGAAAGTTCTGCTGACACTACTGATCCGGTGTGTTTACTGCTTTGTGTACTTAGACAACCAAGATTTAGTATGAAATTAGCATTCAGCCAGGTATGGTGGCTCATGCCTAAAACCCGAGCACTTTGGGAGGCCGAGGCAAGAGAATTGCTTTAGGCCAAGAGTTTGAGACCAGCCTGGGCAACATAGTGAGACTCTGTCTCTATAAAAAATGAAAAAATCTATCTGGGCATGGTGGTACATACCTACAGTCCTACTTACTCTGGAGGCTGAGGTGCTATGCTTGCACCACTGTGCTCTAGCCTGGGTGACAGAGTGAGATCCTGTCTCTAAAAAGAAATTAGCATTCTGTGGTTCCTTTAAGCTAGTCCCTTTCATCCATCTTCTATAGTGTTTCTTCTTGCCTCTAGAGATATGAAGCCCCTTGGGTGTGGTTAGTGGAGCAGGAAACATTTAGAGGCAGAAAAGGTTGTGAGCTTTTTGTCGTTATTCCCAGGAAGGTGAAAATATTACTCTTCCCTAAGCTGTCATGGTTTTCTCCCTTATTCTTCACATAACTAAGTATGTACCTGTATTTATTTTTCTGTTCACTTATTAGCCAGTTCATTCTTCTCTTTACATATTTGTTTACATACTCATGTAAGTGTTAGTAGGTATGCTTGTGTCTGTTAAACACAACCAGGCAATCCTTAATTTATGATTAGATTGTATTTTAACATTTGTTAGGTTGACTGTTTGAGACTTTACATTTTTCTATAGAAACTTGGTGAAATATGGTTATTAGGTTTATACCTGCCCCCATAGAATACTACTTAGCTCATAATAAATGTATTGTATCAGTGGAATTACAGCTGAGGCTCCAGTTAGAGTTAAGGTGCTGTGAATTAATTTGGCAGTAAGAAAGAATTGGTTTTTTTTTTTTCTTTCTCTATACTCTGATCAAAGAGTTTATTTCCTGTGCCTTTCCCTGTTGTCTCAGCAGCTAAATGGAGTCCTCGTTTTCCCATTCCCACTCTGTGGCAGTAATAGTAAGAGGGATCTCCCATTGTGCTTTCTATCAGTTAAATATAATTAGGAGTGAGGCCAGGATCGGGTAGGTGAAGATGAATGACATATATATAAGTGGTGATTATTCTTTAGTAAGCTCTTTGTTCAATTATATACAGACAGTTCTTTATCTACATATGCATTACCATTTTTTAATTATAAAGATACAGTGTGTTATAGCTGAGAAAGTATTAGAATTTTAAGTCGTTTAATCTCTCTGGGTCTTGGCTCCTTCTTTTGCAAAATGTCAAGGATAGACTAAATGATCCTAAGTTCCTTCCAGCTATAAAAATTATGCCATTCTCTACTTTGGGTGAATCTAAAGTTGAACAAAGACAAATATAAATTAGTCTGAAATTATTCATGACACCATGTCCCTGTGTTCACACAGATGATCAAGAGTTTACAAAATACAGATTTTCTCTTAATGAAATATTAGATTACCATTGTAATTCCAAAATTGAAAATTGTTTTGTTGTAATAGAATTTTGATGCATAGGTAAATATATGCAGATTTAGACACTCAGCAGAGCTGATTTCTAGTTTCTCCATGTTGAATTAATATAAGTGGAGTGTTCTCAAACAAGTAAGTAAAAGGAGACTATAATTCTGTCTTTGTCCATTTTCTCTACTTTGCCCTGGATTGTTTTGTTTTATTTTAGTAGTGGGTAGTAAATGATTTGAGTCTTTTTGTTTTCCTGGCAGGGGTGATTGGGATGTTTAAGATGAGTCAATTAAAGGGTAATTGCTGTTTGATTGCAGAATAAAAGAAGAAAGAGATCACTGACAGCCCTTTTTGCAGATAGCATAAATCCTTGGACAAGAAACAGGAAAAACATTTTCTGAACAATAATATTCCTGTAGATAATTTATTGTAACCAGATTAACAAAGCTTTATTACTCTGGGTCACATACTAGGGAAGAAAAATAGGAGCTATGTGTTCCAGTATTCACGGTGATGAAATTTATCTTTTTTATTCCCCCCTTTTTTGTGAGCGGCAATGGGAAAGACCACCTAATGTCTAAAAGTTTTATTAAGTAAGTTCATATTATGCACTGTGTTATTCAGTCACATTTTCTTACAGAATCCATAAGGAAAATTAAGTCATCTATATTACCAGTACCCTGATAATATACTGGTGTATTTCTTTCTAGTCTTTTTTGCTATGCTGCTAAAAATACTTCTTTTGTTTTAAAGAGTACTGAAAACTAATTAACTTTTTGTATTCTGTCTTCACTTAACATTCTTTCATGGTCTTTCCCCAAAATTTTAACCATTCTTTGAAAACATAAGTTTTAATGGTACTACAGTGTTTCATCAGGGTTGACTTTGCCATAATATACTTAATCATTTTTTGCTTGGTAGAGATATTGTTTCCAATCTTTAGCCAATATAAAATAGTCCAGTAATCACCACTTACATTTAGATTTGATTATCTACTCTGGATAGGCTCCTGGAAATAGAATATACTGACTGAGTCAAAAGGTATGAATATTTTAAAGCTTTTGATATGTATCATAAAAATTTACATTTTGAAATGTTGGGTCAATTTATATTACTATTGGCTATATATGAATGTACCTATTTTTCCCACGCACTCGATAACTGAGTATGACCATTTTTTAAAAATTGCTGATTTGGTTGACAACTGGTGCTATTTTTAATTTTTTATGTGAATTCATTGTCTTGTGAAATGTGTCTTAATGTTCATTATACTGTGGTAGTCAGTTTCTTATTAAATTATAGGTATCCAATTCCTGATATTTACAAATAATTAATTTGAACCAATATATAAAGATAATGAACACTGCAAAAATGAATTAGCAAAAAAAAACACTGAATTAGTAATTCTCAGTCCATTTCTTACCAGAAGAAATTAAAAGTCACTTCCTAATGTCAATTTCTTTTTTTCTTTTTTTCTTTTTTTTTTTTTTTTTGAGACGGAGTCTTGCTTTGTCGCCCAGGGTGGAGTGCAGTGGCCGGATCTCAGCTCACTGCAAGCTCCGCCTCCCGGGTTTACGCCATTCTCCTGCCTCAGCCTCCCGAGTAGCTGGGACTACAGGCGCCCGCCACCTCGCCCGGCTAGTTTTTTGTATTTTTTTTGGTAGAGACGGGGTTTCACCGAGTTAGCCAGGATGGTCTCGATCTCCTGACCTCGTGATCCGCCCGTCTCAGCCTCCCAAAGTGCTGGGATTACAGGCTTGAGCCACCGCGCCCGGCCACTTCCTAATGTCAATTTCTTATGTTTATTTTTTATTTACCACCTCAGAATAATCATAATCTGAAAGTCTTATATGTGTTTTCAGCTCCACCAGATCTGCAGAATTCTGAATGCCCATATGGAGTCTCTGCAGTGGATTGATCGGAATTCAGGTGGGAGTTTGCTTGTATGCCACTCTGTGTATTTATTGCAAGTAGAAAATGTGATACATGTCAGTTGTATGCTCCATGATCAAACTCATATAAAAGCTGTTGTATGGGTGTTGCTTAACTCACAGTATGTGTATTTTAGTTCTGAAAAACTGTAATTCCTTATTTTTTTAAATGAAATACACCTAGGATAAACTAGAAATTAATGAAAATAGAGGATGGATAGCAATGGGGCACATAGAGTTGGGATAGAAGCAAGACTTCTATGAATATGCCTTTTTATACAGTTTTGACTTGGGGACCATATAAATGTTTTACATACCAAAAAATTAGAATTAAGTAAAAAATAATGGGAAGGAAGACAAATACTAAAATTGAATACATACTGAAACTAAACAAACCTACATAACTAATTTATAACGATCACCCAGTTCAGATAACTTTTGAACATAGTGTTCTTGATGATGCATCCTTCTAGGATGTCATCTTAAGGATATAAGGAACCTCAAGGAAATTTTAAACTTTCTCTTAATAGGTTTATTATTAGTTTCAGAATGGGGCTGGGCGCGGTGGCTCAAGCCTGTAATCCCAGCACTTTGGGAGGCCGAGACAGGCGGATCACGAAGTCAGGAGATCGAGACCATCCTGGCTAACATGGTGAAACCCCATCTCCACTAAAAAATACAAAAAAAAAAAAACCAGCCCGGGCGACAAAAAAAAAAAAATTAGTTTCAGAATGATAATACCAGTATTACTACCATTTCACATATATTGAGAAATCAAGCAAAGCATATTAGTGACAATAGAAGTCAAGATTTTCATTGAAAGTCACAGAGATAGAAGTTATTTTTCCTCTTCTTTTGTATTTGCATTATAAATTTGAATGTAAGATATCAGTAATTAATTCCTGTTCCTTTGTTCTATACACAGAAATGGCCTAGAAGCAATGACAGACATACCCCAGTGGCAATGAGCACACCTAGAAGCTAGATCTTGGTTTCTAAATGCCATTCTCACTGAAAGGAACCAAGTCTTCTTGGGGAACTGTCTAATCTCATGCCTCAGGCTGGGAAAGTACAGAGTGAGCTTGGGACTTCTTGTGCAAGAAAGCAATCATTGTTAAGTGACTAATAAGGTTATATCAGGCCACAAGATTGTGCTTGAAGGGACTCCCACTGGCCACATTAAGATGGTTTGAACATCAAAAAGAATAGTAATAGTAACAGATTATAATAGATTGAGGGAAAATAAAATCTCATGAATGTATAATGATACTCCAAAAAACAAAGGAAGTACAGGAGAAAGTCTACAGAAGCATGCCAGCTGATTATTAAAAGGAATGATAAAATTAGAAAACTACCATTAATAAAACTTTAAACAGAACACTTTCGTTAAGCTCGCCCTCATCTTGAACACCCTGCCTCATTCGTAAAATGTTCAAACTGTCATTTCTTGGCAGAAAAATATGATAGCAGAAAATGGACCAAATACAGTCTGTAAGTTGCTGAGCTAATTTTTTCAAAACAGCTTTATTGAGGCATAATTTACATACCATAAAGTTCACCCATTTTAATTGTACAATTCAATGAGGAAAAGAGCCATTTTGCAACCCCAGCACGATAGTTGATTCAGGCAAGGATCATCAATGAATGCTAAAACCATTGAGTTTAAGATTGTTGGAGAACAGGATATTTATGCGGTCTCAAAAATATCACTCCGTAGATTACTGAAAAATTACGAAGGACAAAATGTGCCTTTACAACAGCTACCTAACATGTACCACTTTAATGAAGTGATCAAACTTAGCCTCTCCAATAGTAGGATAACTTGACTTTATGTGCCCCTTGATCTGACATGATAAGAAGTATACAATATCATTTATGTAGTAGTCTTATCAAAAATGTTAAAGTTGAATCTAATCATAAGAAAATAATCAGATATTCCACGTGTGAGACATTCTGAAAGATGATGTAATATTCTTACCCAAAATGTTTAACTTGAATCTAATCTCTAGAAAATAATCAGACATTCTATGTGTGAGACATTCTGAAAGATAATTGGCTTAGATTCTTCAAAAAGTTTGTTATGAGAAAAAAAAATTTGAAACAAACAAACAAAAATAAGTGGATAGTCTTAGATTAAAAGAGGCATAACATTCAAGTCTGCCTTGTTAACCTTGATTAGGTACTGATCAAAACTAAAAAGATATTGTTTAGAATATTGGGGGATTGAATATGGACTGTATATTAAATGATATTAAGGAATTGCTTATTTTACTAGATGTGATAGTTATTATGATTATGTAGGAAAATATCCTTATTCTTAGAAGATTCAGGCTATGTTATTTAGAGAATTCTCATGTCTGTAGTTTACTTTCAGCAAAAATTTGCCAAGAGAAAGATTTAGCAATTTGTGGCAAAATGTTAACAGTGGGTTAATCTAGGTAAAAGGCATTCATGTGTGTGTTTTTTACTATTCTCTCAACTTTCCTATGGACTTAAAAATTGGGGGGCAGAAATCATTTTTATAGACTTTGCCTAAATATGGAATATAATGAAGCCTAAGGAATTAAGACAAATAGGAGCTGATTAATCAGAGTTACTACTTTTAAAGACGTGGCCTTAAAATAATACAAATTTTATTATTTGGCATTCTAGATTTTTCATTTTCTGCATTAATAGAGGTCATCAACCATGAACTTCTTCAGCTTCTTTACCTTTCAGACATACCTATATCATCATTCATCTTTACTTCCTTCTCTCCTGTGTTAAGGAAAAAATATTCTATCCATTTTGAAACTGTTTTGAATTATCAGAGGGAGGTTAAATTCTATATCACTTTAATATTTTTAAAAACTACCTGATGGGGAGAGGTTTCTAAGTCAGATAGATATGGGTTCAAGTCAAGGCATTACCACTTAATTATTGTGTGACCTTAATTGTTACTTAATCTCTCTGAGTCTGTATCTTCATTTTTAAAATGAGGGATAATATGTATCTGTTAGGGGTTCTGTAAGGATTAAAAGAAGCAATGTCAGTAAATGGTAGTGGCAGAACTGGTTACTGATTCAGAATTTACTATGTTTATGAGGTCAGGTAAGAGAAAAGAAGGGTCATGTGATTCAAAAGGTAGCTATTAAATTGAATCTAGAGAAGGCAGTTCCAGGTAGATTATCACCAAAAACCAGTTACCTAGACTTACCTAGGCAAGTTATAAGAACTGCTGAGATGTGAGAGTGTCAATAACTAGAAAACACTGAGGAATGAGATTAAACAATGCTTGGCTTAGTTGTCTTCCTGTCGCATGTTTTTCTACAGTGATCAGTGCTTCTTGGGTAGAGTTGAGGAAGGTGTTCAAAAGTAATTTGGGCTGTAGAGAAAAATTATAGTGATTTTTTTCTCTTGGCAGGGATTCTCTTTATCATAAATGAAATCTCAAGGCTTTCAGCCAGTGTTTCCTTAATAAAATTAAGATTGTTAGCATTGAAAGGGACTTACTTTACTTAAATGGAGAAACTGTGGCTCGGAGAGGTTGAATGACTTCTTTAAGAACACACAGCTAATTAATGGTAGAGCTAGGACCAGGATCCAGACTTCCTTATTATCAGAATGGTGTTCTTTCTTCTGGTATGCTCTTAAAACAACTGTAAGGTAGGACCACTGAATATAAAAACAAATCTTAGTCATGTACCTAATAGTAGAGGACAAAGGTTATCAAAGTATGATAGTACTTTGGATAGGATATAAGTTCTAGGTATCTGGGGAAAGTTCTAAGTCAACACAGGATAAAAAGAGAAAAACAATGAAGAGTAATGATTACTTGGAGTTACATTTTTGCTAAAAATTCATTTGAGCTGGAGAGGCAATGAGATTTCATATTGGTTCTCAACTGAGACAAAGGAGGCCATGATAAAGAATGAGAAAAGAAGCCTGGTATTTCTTGACTCTGTGGGCTCCTTTTTGCCATTCCCACCCAAGAAGGCTTTCTTTTTCATATCAGGAAATGACAAGATGAAGAAATTGAGAGTGGCAGGGTTTAATTATGCTGTCTTAACAGAGGTTGTTTTTTGTTATTTTATTTTGTTTTTTAGTAGTTAATTGGATCATTTATGCTAAAATGATCTGTGGACTGAAAAGTTTTAAGAGTAAGCTCAATGAATCCATTTATTCCTACTCCTATTATTTTTTCTATAACTATTATAAATAATATATTATTTTTTCTATAACTATTATAAATAATAGTTATAGAAAAAATAATAGATGTGTTATTTTAACAATACAAATATTATAGTTTTTTACTAAAGAGAAATCTTCAACTTGTATATAGTCAAATCTTTATTTTAAAAGGATTCTGGGAAATGTTTTGATAATTTAATATCTTTAATTTTAATACACATTTTTTCCATCATAAAACATGACAACTGTTGCACTAAGAGGATCACATATTTAACTAAAAAGTTGGCTCTTTAAAAGTGGTTTGGAAGCTGGGCACTGTCTCTCATGTCTGCAATCCCAGCACTTCAGCGATCCCAGGATGGATCGCTTAAGCCCGGGGATTCGAAACCAGCCTGGGCAACAAAGTGAGACCTCATCTCTTAAAAGAAAAAAGTAGCTGAGTGTGGTAGCACACACCTGCGGTTCCAGCTACTTGGGAGACTGAGGTAGGAGGTTTGAGCTTGGGAGTTTGATGCTTCAGTGAGCCATGATTGCATCACTACACCCCAGCCTCAGTGACAGTGAGACTGTGTTTAAAAGAAAACGTGGTTTGGAAATGAAACATTGCACTTTAAATATGTTAAAATATTACATAAAAGTCCAGTCAACTTTTCAATATCCATGAATAAGTTACAGAGAACCAGGCCCCTTTCTTTCTCTAACTTATATGATGGGTTAGATAAGTGATGGGACTCAACTAGAAAGGTGTCAAAGTACTAGATAATTGAATTAAGGAGTGTCTGAACGTGTGTAGGCAATGATCAATTTTTACATTTGATATTTCCCTCC